ATTTGTTTCTTTACTCTCCTTCATGCCCAAAGGGAGTGGTCAGCTGTTCATTGCCCTCCCCTATCCCTCTGATCCCCCTTGTGAGTCCATCTGGGAGTGAGGTGGAGGATAAAGGCCTTGACCAAAATGCCACAATCTGAATTTTTGGAAGGAAAGTCTCAGGACCCAGTGCCTGGCACCTTTTGAACAGCTCAGGTGGACTTTGGGCCAGAGGAAGGGGCTCTCATTTATGCATGAGCTTTCTCTCTGTGCTTCAGCTCTCTCAGATGCAAAATAGGGACGATTTATAATATCTTCCTTAGAGCCTTTTTTGAGAATAGAAAGAGCTAATACATGTGAAATACTTAAAACAGTGACTGCTCTTATCACATGGGGTTCCCAGACTTCCAGGTGGGGTTCTCTTTGCCCTCGTGGGAAGCATGAGTGTGGGGGGTGGGGGTGGGAGTGTGAGGTGGGCCCTGAGCCTTGCAGCCATGTAGATGCTTCTGAGGGCAGGTGCAACACTCTCTGAGAGGGCCCGGACGCGCTAGATCCCAGCAAAGGCTGAGGCTTTGTGGAGCATTAGCTTTATGGAGAGTTGGGGGTTGAGGCATCCCTGAAGGTGGAGGCAACAGGGCCTTGGAAGGAGGGCTGGGCCTGGTCTGACACCAAGCCATGACTTGGCCATTTGAGGACACCCTACAACTGTGAGAGAAAATGTACTGTGCTCTGTTGAGGCCTTTTAAAGGACTGTTATGTGGATTAAATGAGAATGGGTGTCAATATGCTTTGTAATGAAAGCGGATTTCAGGACAGAAATGGTGAAGGATTAATCTATACCATCTCTACTAGAGTGGGGGAGGGAGATGACTGGGCTTTTGGGTGCTTGAGTGTTGGGGAATTGCTCTTGAATGGAAACAAACTGCATTTGGGCCCTTCCAGTTAGTGGCTTCAAGTGGAGGCAAGCCTCAAGCTTGGGGAAGTCCTCAGGGTGTGGGTCCTGGCCTGGGTCCTCCAGCTCCGGGATGGGCCAGTGGTGGGTGTGGGGATGTGCGCCTATTGGTCGTCATCGGCAGCGTGTGGCGGGAAGCTGCGGACTGGGGCCTCCAGGAGCCCAGGCAGACAGGTGCAGAGGCAGGAGCGGCAGCAGGGCTGGCTGCCTCCGGGGACCTGAGGAGCAGCAGGCGCTGGAGGGCCAGAAAGCACCTAGCTTCCTGCCCAGGTACCTGGCCCTTCGTTCCAGGAGGCGCAGAGAGGAGGGGACCCTCGTCCAAACCAGAGTTCCACAAACCGCAGGTTCCGCCTGAAGTGGAAACTGTTCTGTGATGCCCGCTGCAGCTACCCACTGCCACCAACTCCCTCGGCGGACTCCGTTGCCCACTGCAGCGTGGACGAGTGGGTGGGGGGCTGGTCCAGCCATGATCTCCCCTGCCCGTGGAAGCCCGACCTCCTGGCGTGTGAGATCCACTGGACCTTGGTCCTGGAGAGGGGCACCCCGCGGGTTTCCAGAGGGGCGTCGGCAGCTGCCACGGACGAAGCGGGGACCGACCGCCAGAACCACTATCCCCTCTGGCCATCCCAGCGGAGAGGACCCAGCAGAGAGGACCCAGCAGCGCGGAAACTTCGACGGCAACAGCCCGAGCCACAGCCTGGAAGATGATCGAGGACCCAAGATCAATATTCACAACAGTCAGAAGACGCTTATTGTTTAGAAGGAAGCTCTTTTGTTCTTTTTACCGAAGAGAGCAGTAAAAACATTTTTTTCCCTGATCAAATTTTTGCCCACATCTAAACAGCCAAACCAGCTCCTGGCCTCTGTGTCAGGACACCTCGCCCTTTTCCCTCGGCCGGCCGGGACGCGTGCTTGCAGCTGGGAGACCCCGCGTCGGCTGCGGAAGGAGCTTGGGGCCGCAGCTCGTCCCCACCCTCCCCCCGCACCCCCCACTGTTCCCCCGCCCGCCGCCGCCGCTCTCCGGAGCAGGGTTTTCTTGGGAAGCGAAGCTGTACCACCCAATCTGCGCGTCTGGTGGCTGAGGCTCGGCTTCCGATTCCATTTAAAACGACCCGCTCATCTTATCTCCGTGTCGCCTCCCTGGGGTTTCCACCCACCCCCGGCCCAGCCCAGCCTAGCCTAGCCCGGGCAGAAGCAGAGCCGGGAGCTTTTGAAGTCCCCGGAATTTCAATCCGAGAGGAGCCGGCTCCACCGGAGCTGGTCGCCCCAGCGGGGAAGGGACTGTGGGCCTGCGTGGTGGGGGGATGGGTGTCTCCCCGCCGCAGGAAATGAGAAGCGGCAGCAGCCCCGGCTGGACCCCACTTGGGCTGCTGTTACCCCCTCTCTGCTTTATGGGGTTGCCCAGGCTTTTATGGGGTTGTGCAGCTTCACTCGCTTTCCCAATGTCCCTTCCTTCTCGCGCCATGCCGTGCATAACCTTCACGATACCGTGATAAGGACGTTATTAAAATCCCCCTACATCTCCCCCCAAATGCCAAAACAGTGTTCTTATCCGGTCTCCTCTTTCTGTCTTCTTCCTGTTAAAAATTTAGCCTTTTTAAATCTGGTATCAATGCTTTAGGAAGAAGTGATATTTGGTAAAACATTTTTTTTTTCTAAAGCCCTGGGGTAGGGGGTGGTTGAGTAGGCTCCTAACGACCGAAGAAACTGAGGCTGCTTTGAAAGGGCGGAGCAGAAGTGGGGAGACGGGTGGGCCAGGAGTTGGGCTGAGGGGATATGCCTCTGACACTTAAGATCTGGAGCCCAAAGGCGGCAGCCTCCCTCCAGAGAATCTCGGCTTTTGACTTCTCCTGGGGGTGTAAGGGGAAGGCCTGCTCTGTTGGGCACGACCCAGGAAGGAGACTAAGTGGCACCCCTTGATCTCTCAATCCCACTCTGCTTTCATCTCACGGGGAAAACTCAGAGGAAAAGAGGATCAAACACAGAGCATTCCCATAGAATGCAAAGCTGGGGGCGGGGCAGGGGAGCCTGGAGTCCCTCTGTGGACTCCGCTCTGAGGAGATGGGGGTAGCAAGCTGTGAGAAGGTGGCCTGCTCATGGGGGTGGAGGGGAGGGGAGGGGAGAGTGGGCGCCACCCAGGCCCAGTGCTGGAAGGGCCCTACAGAGAGCGGGCAACCTCCGCAGCTTTAAGACAGATGCTCAGGGGTGGACTTTGACCAGAAGGAGAGAGGAAACCAGGTGCTCCCTCAGGCTCTGGCTGTTTTGGGGGAAGGGCAGGGCATGACAGAATCCTTGGACAACTCTGAAGGGCAGCAAAAGGTTTTGGGATTTGATCCTCCCACTCCCAATAGCTCCTCTCTCACCTCTAAAACATTTCCCAGGTTTTTGGGTTAGTAGTGCTCAGCAGATGGTGGCTTTGGGAGTCCTAGGGAGTGGAGATATTTAAGTGGACATTACCCTCTGGATTCCATGTCCCTGTTCCCCAGGTGAGGTTAACGAACACCTTGTTATTAATTGGGGGAGGAGTGGAAAGCAGGAGTGGGGAGGAAACTTTGTCTTTCCTTGTACTCCTTGCTTCCTCCACCACTTCATAACCCCATGGACCGGAAGACTGGGGGGGAGGAGGAGAGAGAGAGAAGAGTAGAGAAAAAGAAAAAGGAGTAAAGTGGGAGATAAAAGAAAAAAGGTAGTGGTGGAGGGACTTTAAAAGCTGAGACTTTGCCTAAGGACATGGAGAAGGAGGGAGGTGCAGGGGCTGCACTTTGTAGCTAGCTTTGTAGGGCTAGAAGCTCTTGGGGAGGAGGTGGAGAAAGGGGAGTTGAGCATAGAAGGTGCCCACCTCCTGCCCTCAGCAAAGTGGAGAGACCCAGCCCACCTGTCGGCCCCAAAACATTTGCCCAGAGTTTGAAAGAGCTCAGTTTGAAGGAGTTCTATTCCACCTTCCCCAGAAAAAGACCTGAGAGAGGCCTGTAGCAGCCCCCAAACATCAAGTTCCACACCCTCTACACCTGTGATGGAGGTTTGACTTCCATCCCTAAAAATTTATGAGCCCCTAGTCACTTCCTCTTTCAGGGCATTTTCAGTGACTTCTCTCTCTTCAACTCCCAGCACCACCCGCCTTTGGAGCCAGGGACCAATGCTCCTGGGTAGGGCCTGGGGGAAGACCCTGTCAGTCAAACCTCAGTGAACCCCACCGTTCTGAGTGCTGGGGTCCTCCCAATCAATGCTCGCCCTAAATCCCTGGGTGAAAGCTAGCACCTTCTCCCTGCTAGGGGCCTCCAGTGCTGCCAAAGTAGGGGCTGCATTTACCACTACCTCTTCACTTGAAAAACCTCTTTTGGGGAGAATTCGTTGACTCCGAACGAATACCTTAAAATACGGGCAAGAAAAAAAAAAATGCCACTCTTAGAACCTCTCCCCACCCAACATACCTGAAGTGCAGGCGAGGCCCAAGCAAACGGGAAAGCGATTTCTTCTATGAATAGCCACCTCGAGGTCAAGTCGGGCTGTGGAAAGCTGAAAACCATCTAGATGGGGAAGAGGAATAAAAAAAAATAGCGAACACTGACTCAGCAGCCAAGGCGAGTCTTTAAAGAAAAAAAAAAAATGAAGGTATTATAATCTCTTGCCCCTTGGGGAAGAAAAATAGCAAAGTTTGGTTCCCCAGAGGAAGGAGACAAATGGGGGTAGGAGGAGGGAGGAGAAGAGAGAGGAAAGGATAGCCCAGGCTCAAGCTCTCCAGTCAACTTGGGGAGGGGGGATACATTTTTCGGTAGCTTGTAAAAAGACTTTGGAGCCGGTTTGAGGTTAGCTGCCAGGGGCGGGCTGTTGTAATAATGCCGAAAGAATCCAGGCTTGTAAGCCGGCCTTCACACTTCTAAAATACAGTTACGGATTCTTTTATCAGTGTTAGATCAAGGCACCAAGTTAAGAAAACAAAAATCAAAACAATAATAAAAGAAAAAGTCAAAAGCGTATTTAACTACCGAGTCCCGCTGCCCCTGCGGAACTCGCCGTGCGCGTTAAGCTCTCTTTTCTTTCTGCGGAATTCCATTTGCATCCCCTCTGCCTGGGTGTCTCCCTCTCTCAGTGTGTGTGTCTCTCTGTTTTCACACTCTCCTCCCCATTCGAGCGAGGCCCACACCTGGCGCATCACTGCCGAGCCATTAGCTGCGGGTCTCCTTTCATCTTCGCTGTGGCAGACGTTTCTATTTATCCACTTGCGCTCGCCGAGTGGCGTCACCAGCGGTACTGTAATGACGATTGCAGCAGGAGGATGACAGCTTAGAAAGAAGAGGGCAATGGGGCTTCCTCCCAGAGGCGGTGCGGCACAGAGGAGCGCTCGCATCACAAGGTGACCCTAGCTCCCCAACGCCACCGCCGCGGTCGCCGTCGACATCGCACTCCGGCCGCTCGGCGCCCGCCCAGTCTCCCGGCCTCTTTTTCGCCCTCTCGCAGCCAAGATCTATCCGGCCGCTGGGGACCCGGGGAGCAGGGGGTTAGGAGCTCACTTGGGGCTTTCCCCCGCCCCCACCGGATAGCCCCGGGATGGAGAGCCGAAAGGACCTGGTTATGTTTCTGGATGGGGGTCAGATTAGCACTCTGGTTGGCAAGAGGGTCTCCAATTTGTCCGAAGCCGTGGGCAGCCCTCTGCCCGAGCCGCCCGAGAAGATGGTGCCCCGTGGTTGCCTGAGCCCGCGGGCCGGCCCTCCGGCCTCCCGGGAGCGCGGCGGGGGAGGCCCGGAGGAGGAGCCGGTCGATGGACTAGCAGGCAGCGCGGCGGGGCCAGGCACCGAGCCACGGGTAGCCGGGGCGGCCATGCTCGGCCCGGGACCCCCAGCCTCCTCCGCCGACAGCCTCTCGGGCCAGGGACAACCCAGTAGCTCGGATACGGAGTCGGATTTCTATGAAGAAATCGAGGTGAGCTGCACCCCGGACTGCGCCACCGGGAACGCCGAGTACCAGCACAGCAAAGGTAGCCACCGCACCCCTTCGCTCCCCTGGCCTCCCAGTGCGCCCACCCTTCACTTCAGCGCAGGCCGGGAGGAAGACACTCCTTTCCCCCAGGGCAGGATGGCTGGGGGGACCCACCTGAGCAACTCTCCCCTGCTAGCTGCGTCCCGGCGGGGGTCTCCCACTGTGTTCTGGCATTGGCGGGACTGAGGGTGACAGCTCTGCCTTGTGGGGGGGAATGCAAGTCCTGGGCTTGAGGGAGTCACTGTGCACCCCAACCCCCCCAGTGTTTTGTGGGAATGCTTCAACTGTGGGGGGAAGACACCTTCCCCAGGCGAGGGCAAGATCAAACGCCAGTCCCGGCAGTTTGTGGCTGGCGGGGTGTAAGACGCATGGAGGCGCGGAAGCCAGGAGTCCATAAAGGACCGTAAAATCGCGGCCCACTCGGGCAGCCCGGGTGCTGCAGCCCTCCAACCAGTTTGCACGTCGGTCAGAGGTCCAAATTACCTTGTCACTTCCCGGGCTTGGCGGCGCCAGGTCGGAAATGGTCCCAATGGTCTAATTGCTTTTGGTCTCCGGTTGCATTTGAAAAGGCAGAGATCAGGTCCTCCCCCTTTCCCCTTCCCTTCCTAGTCCCACTTCTCCACCCAAAGGAAAAGGAGCTGCGGGGGGCTGGAGCCCCACCCTTCTCAGAGGTAGGCCCAAAGCAGGGCAGCTTTAACTGGAGAACCCCTCCCAGACCAAAGGCTAATGGGAGAGGGGGATGGATGGCCCGGAAGGGAGTCTCCTTCTGAGCCAACAATCACCCCACCAGAGAGGGGCGGAAAACTTGGAGGGAGAGCCCACCAGCAGACACTCCTCCATAAAGCTGTGGGAGCGGGTGGAAAGAGCCTGGGAGGGAAGAAAGACCACCCGTTGGCCTTGGCAGCCAATACCTTGTGGAGAACTCACACCCACCCTTTACCATCTTATCACCCACTCCACCCAGACTCCCTACCATAACATACTCTCAGAACAACCTATACTTCACTCAAATACACAAAGGTAACAGTATACTCAAACATGCACTCCCATGACATCCCTGCAATACATGCAACCTAGTACACATTCCCACACCTGTGCTGGCAGCCTGGCAAACAACAGCAAGGAAACTATCTGCTCAGCATCCTGCAGTGCTCTAAGACCCAGAGATTATAACTGCTCCAGCACAAAGATGCACCTCAACTCACTTGCCGGTCAAAAGTGCATATCCTGGCTCATCCCTGCCAATGGTAGGCAGAAAGCTCCGGGAGGCTGAAGTTCACCTGTGCTCCAGGGCAAGTAGGGAGGGTGGCTTGGAGCCTCTGTACCCAACTTGCCTTAGTCAGATGCCTCTCATAGAGCAGCCAGACCAGACCTCCCCAAAGACATCTATGTACCCATCCCAAGGGCAAGCCCTTATCCTTCCCTCCTGGGTTCCCTAGAGGCTGCAGCGCCCCAAGCAGTGGCAGTTACTGAGATGGCTGGAGTGGGGGGTGTCCCTTCCCAACTCTCTCCCTCCTGGGCCTGCAGATCCAAGTCAGCGGCATTTGTATCTGTTGTGTGTCTGTGTGTGTGCACCTGTGTGCTCTGGGCTCCCTGTGCAGGGCCCGGCTCCGAGGCACTGGTCGGCAGCCCTAACGGAGGCAGCGAGGCCCCCAAGAGCAACGGCGGCGGGGGCGGCTCGCAAGGCACCCTGGCCTGCAGCGCCAGTGACCAGATGCGCCGTTACCGCACCGCCTTTACCCGGGAGCAGATTGCGCGGCTGGAGAAAGAATTCTACCGGGAGAACTACGTATCTAGGCCGCGGAGATGCGAGCTGGCGGCCGCCCTAAACCTGCCGGAAACCACTATCAAGGTATGTGCGGTCAGGACTGGGAAGGCAGGTGTGCACCCATTTAGCAGGAAGTAAATACCAACTGCTCACTCCCTAAATCGGTGCCTGGAATTGAGCCTGGGGTTTTCTTGTCTAGTGCGTGCAGATTTACCCTGCTAACAATCCCTAGGCGGGCACTGCTGCCATGCGGTTGACTATGTTCCTTTCCTAGTCAAATAGACAGCGGGGATGGGGATGGAGTGCCTGCGTGGGTAACAGGGGGTGACCCAAAGGAGATGGAGGGAAGGAGTCGCGTTTCTGGGAAAACACTGCCTCAGACCCATGTAGTCCTAGTCCTAGTACTTCCATTACTGGCAAACCCACACAAGGTTCTGGCACCCTGGGGGGCCTGGCCACGTGGGACGAGGGAAGGAGGGACCGAGATTGCAGTCACTCCCCAACCTCTCTCAAGGGATTCCAGCTCCAGGTGGTGGTGGTGGTGGGGCCTGCCCTCGCCCCAGTGGCGTCTGCTTTGACTATTCTCTGCCCTGCCAACATTGTGCCCTGGAGTGAGACAGGACTTCTGGGCTCTGGGAACGGGGTCAAGTCCAGCTGCCGATCCTGCCCCGCTCCTCTCCCCAGGTGTGGTTCCAGAACCGACGCATGAAGGACAAGCGGCAGCGGCTGGCCATGACGTGGCCGCACCCGGCCGACCCCGCCTTCTACACGTACATGATGAGCCACGCCGCGGCCGCGGGCGGCCTGCCCTACCCCTTCCCGTCGCACCTGCCGCTACCCTACTACTCGCCCGTGGGCCTGGGCGCCGCGTCCGCGGCCTCGGCCGCCGCCTCGCCCTTCAGCGGCCCGCTGCGCCCGCTCGACACGTTCCGCGTGCTCTCGCAGCCCTACCCGCGGCCCGAACTGCTGTGCGCCTTCCGTCACCCGCCGCTCTACCCCGGCCCGGCGCACGGACTGGGCGCCTCGGCCGGCGGCCCCTGCTCCTGCCTCGCCTGCCACAGCGGCCCGGCCAACGGGCTTGCGCCCCGGGCCGCCGCCGCCACCTCGGACTTCACCTGTGCCTCCACCTCCCGCTCGGACTCCTTCCTCACCTTCGCGCCCTCCGTGCTTAGCAAGGCCTCCTCCGTCGCGCTGGACCAGAGGGAGGAGGTGCCACTCACCAGATAAGGGGCCGCCCGCGGGCTGTCGGCTCCAGGACGCCCGTGGGGGGGCCCCGCGGGACTCAGCCAGTGCTCCTCCTCGCCCTCAGGACACTGAGGGGAGAGGAGAGGGCCGAAAAGGACCAGCGGGACTCGGCCTCAAGGATTGGGACGCCCAGGAAGCAGCCATGGCTGGCGCGTTTCGGGGGCAGAAGTGGGGATGGGGAAGCAGAGGTTGAAAGACCTTCCTCTGGGGTGGCCTCTCTTTGCCATTCATCGTGGGACACACCACCCCTCAATGGGGTTGAGGCTGTGGCTCCAAAGCTAGAGAAAAATTAGCTACAGCAACCAATATCCCCAACCCCTCAGCCCTCCATCCCCCCACCTCACACACCTTCCTCCAGCGGCCCCTTCCCCCCTGCCAAGGCCAAGCCCAAGCACTGGAAAGGAAAACTGCTGTCTCTCTGAACAAAATGCTGTGTATGCAGAGCAGGTAGAGATTAATCTTTGCCAGCTTTTCCAAGGCATGGCAAGGGGCTTGAGGATGGCGGCACCAGCCAATTGGGGGAGAGAGTGAGAGAGATGATTTACTACCAGGGAGAATCCTGCCCCTTGGCATGGAACCTGGGGGCTCTCACCTTCTTGGAGACTCAAATACACAGCATCTTCTGGTTCTGGCATCTACCAGCACCTGATCTCTTTCCTCATTCCCAGCTTTATGACACCTCTCAACTTGTGGCTCCATCCCTATCCCCACTCCCTCCACCTCCCCCACCCTTCCCACCCTCCACCCACACCCCACTTTCTGTTAGATTCCGGCTGGGAGGCTGCAGACACCCCAGGGCCCCTTGGCAGCTTCTAAGAGGCCAAGCCTCTCTTCTCTGCGCCCAGCACACACCCTGATTAGCAAGTATGCAAGGAGGGTTTTTGAATGTTGAATGTATAATAATGATCACCATTGGAGCCCAGAGCTGAGCTGTTAACAAGGTACCCAGGGAAGAGCTTAGGGAGTGGGAGCTTCACCTCCCTCCCTCTCTCTATCTGGTAGCAAATTAGAGGCTATTTTCATCTTTTGCCTGTTCACCTTCACTTCACTAGCTTTCTGGCCCTACACTTTGCATTTGGCATTTTTTATTTTTCTCTCATTTTCCTCCCAAGCTGCCACTGGGGCTTGGCTTTCACATGTCAGTGGGGCACCTTCCGCCCCTTCTAGGAACCCTGTCTCTGCCCTTCACCAGGGTTTGTTTGGGAGCCACTCCCAAACCCTCACTCCCACATCCTTGCAGACAGTTTTTAAGGAAGAGAACTTGTATCCCCTAATGCAAGCTTCACCCTGACTGAGAGGGAGTGGTTCTTCTGGGAGGGAATAAATTTGAGTTGGTTTGAGATTTTCCTTTGAAGCCCAAAGAATTTACTGTTACAATTTGTTAACCATATTGCAATAAAAGCTGGACATGATTCTCATTTTAGCATTTTAATTTTTTTGGAAGCAGGTAGCATGTTGACTCTTTGAATTGCTAGTTCAGCCATGAGGGGCTTGTTAGGGAAGGAACCAAAAGATGGACCCACAGAGTCTTGCTAGCCTTGACTGCTGTGTTGGGTGTTGGTAGGCTCCAAACAGACACCATCCAGAGGCAGAGAAAGCAGGCTCCCAGCTGCCCTGGGGTGCATGTATCCTTAATTCCGGGCATGCTCTGAGGCCCTTCATGGGTAAACTGTCCCTTCAGAGTGCTGACCCCACCTGGGGACCCCCCCTGTGATGGATGGTTTCTTCAGCTGCTCCAATCCTTTGAGGAAAAGGGACCTGGGCTGTGGTCTCTGTGCTGTCTCCCTCCACCCCAACCCAAGGTGAAGGTAAATGGGGCAGCAGAAGTGGAGCTTGAGCTCTGCAGAGAGCTGGGTTTGCTCATCAAGTTGAGTCTGCATCTCAGGGTGGGGGAAGAGAGTGGAAGAGAACTCCTGGGTTGGGATCATCTTGGTTTGAATTATCCTCAGACTGCAAATCATCTCCAGGATGGGACTCTGGGCAGACAGGGAAAGGGGACAGGCAATGCTCAGCAGCTCCGCCCTCCCCCAAAAAAACACACACAGGAGAACCAAGCTTGGCTGGGGAGTCCCGCTAAAGCAGGGAAGAGATGAGAGCGTTCAGGGAGGCTAGGAGGCTATCCAGCATGGACACCCAGGGTCCTCTGCCGGAGTCTCTGCCAATGTTTCGCCAGCCCATGGCGACTCTTCATCCGCCCTCCTCCCCCGCTGGGCTTCGCAGCAAACCCTCCTGCACACAGTGGCTGGTGCCCTCCCAAGCAAAGGCCGGCGCTGAGGTTTCCAGCATCGTCCCCCCACCTCCCACCCCAGGCCGGTACAGCTCTCTCTGCAGCCAGAAGCTCCCGAGTGCCAAATCTCGGCAAATTTTGTGGTTGCTCCGCGTCGGGCAGAGATTGCTTGCGACAGGTAAATGGGCTGCGGGTTGCCTTAATGCCAGGCGTATTTTCAGTTAATAGGGAGGGAAAATGAGGTGTCTGCAGCGATATTGGAAAGTACAAGATCGATGATCCGGCCTCGTGTCCAATCAGCAGCCTTTAATTGACTGTATTTTCTGGGTAATTGAGCCTCTCTTCCTCCAAATTGAAGTGGAAGATATAACAATACATCTTGCCAGGAGGAATTACTCATTACTTCATAATGAAATTTCCCTTTTGCCAAGGTTTGCGGTTTGGCTCTAGGGACGACTTCCTCCCCCACCCGCCATGCTCAGCCCACCTGCACCGGGCAACCCGATCCGGCCTGACACGCCCCATTTGGGTGGGTAGGAGGGAGTGGGAGATGACCATGAAGAAGCACTGCCTCCCCACAGCCGCAACCGCTATCTGTAAAACGAGAAGGCTAGACAGGCCACGAGGCCTGACACGGTATTGTTTTCGTTTTTTTGCTTTCTGAGTGCCTCCACTTAGCTTTGCCTCATCTCGGTTCCATTTTGCAGGTGGGAAAACGGAGGCTCCGGGTCTCACACAGCTATTGAGTGGTCGGTAGATGTAGCTATGAGCTCCAGGCTCCTGCTTCCTCCTCCCTCGAAAAGTTTTGGGGCCCAGAGTCCGCGGTCACCCTCAGCGAAGTCTGACACCTCACTCCTGACTCACACTTTCTCACCGCCGGCCGATCCAGCGCCTAGCCCGGGTTCGGGTTCGCTCAGCCCGTCAAGGTTGCCGCCCGCTGCCTGAGTGCGCGCCGGGCCCCCAGCCGTCGCCGGCTTGTTAGCGTATGATTGATTGCCTTATTAAAGCGTGTTCTTGTAAGTGTGACCAAACTGATTGCATTGCATATGTTTGGGATAATGCTCATTTTAAACAACAGGATAAAGAGGATGAGCTCGGCAGAGCTTCGAAGACGAAATGATTTCGGCCAGCAGCTCCCTAACTCTGACATTAAATTGCCCAGTTACATAGCAAATCACTTGCTATGGGTTCCTACATCGTTGTCCCCATTTTTTCCCCTTGGCCTACAGTTTGATCCCATCCTCCAATGTGGTATGCCCGGCAAATGGTGATTTGCTCTGTGATGATATCCACTCCACCTTCCTAGTCTTGAACCCTACACTCACACATTCGCATGAAGTCCTCCTCCCACATCCCAGGCTGAGGGAAAAGGGATTTTGAATGCAGCCTCTCACCCTAGGCCTCCCAGGGGGACATGGCCCTAGATAGTCACCCCAAATGGGTGCTTGGGTCCCTGCAGTAAGGCGTGTGTCTCTTCACCCCCACCCCCAGCCCTTTCACTGAAGTTTAAAAGATTCTTTTGTTCCCCAGGCTTCTGCCGCTCGGTTGCTTCCATTATTCCCCAATCGAGGAAACACAGCCACCATATGTCCACCGGAGAGCGTGAGTGTCACGGTGGACGGTTGTTGAAGATGTTCAGATGTATGGCATTCTCAAAGTGGGAAGAGTTTTGCCTTCCTAGCATCCTCTCCCAGAGTGGTAGGGGGAGGGGTAGGAGTCAGTGGGGGAAGGGGGGTAGGAAAGGAGGTTGGGGCAAAAAATTGGCATTTCTTTTAATTATCTCCCCATGCCCCCCTCCACCATTCGTTGTGTCAAGGTTCTTTCTGTGTCGGTTCCCTAACAAAGAAAATCCTCATCTGGCCTCCACTTACTCCCGTCGATTTGCACAAGATCCAAAGAGCTCACAGATTGAACTTCCTAAGGGATACCTTTGGGATATGCTGGAATTCTGATTTGTTCAAGATGATGACAGTCATCAGAACAAATCAGAAACAATGCCACTCTTCAGGGTGTCATTTGTAAGTGTAGTCATACGGATTCGTTTGCAGGACCCAGCAAAAACTCGTCTGGATAAGTGACTAGATCCAAACGACAAATCTCTTCCGTCACTCAGCTCCTCCCAAGCTCTGCAGGGGCAGGCACAGCAGACTGCATTAAGGCAAAACTAAGGCCCAGCTCACCATTTGTGCAAGCTTGAGGGCCCCCCGAAATGTTGGTCCTCAGAAAAAAACCAAAACCCAATCACAAAATGCATCCTACTACCTACAAAGTAAACAGAAACAAAGTCATTTCCAAAATCACCTTCTCAGCAAATAAGTATGTGATATTCTGAGCAGGAGAGACAGAAAGATTGTCACTTAAAAATAACATGAAAGCATTAAGTAATTATTTAAAACAAGGCTGTTTAGAAAAATATTTGTATTTATTGCAGCTGCTCAATTGGCCTCGTTAAAGTCGGCAAGCATTTAAATTGTGTTACAATCTCATTTAAATCCCGCTCCGTTCCAGCAGGCTGAAGAGCTTGAATAGACCAATCACTTCATAATGATGATGAATGAGAAATTAATTCAGATACAAGCAAGACAATTTAGGCCTTCATCTGTTTAAATAGCCTTCCAATATTATTCGCGATCGCGGGTCACAGATTGAATCAATTGTCCAATCTTGTGAAAGTCATATCCTTGCATCTTCATCGAGATTATTTATAGCGCAGTGAGGGCTGCTGAAAGGTATACGCTGTTAACAGGGACAATTACTTAAAGGGAAGCGTTTATAAAATGGGAAACAAATGCCGAGGTTGGTAACAAATGGGATCAAAAGCAGCCATTCCAATCTGGCTTCTCCGGGGAAGGGAGCGGCGCGGCCCTGCAGGATGAGGA